TGTCCCACCTGGGGAAAGAGGGGGAAAGCAGGTGAATGGGGAAAAATATTTGATGAAGGAGGACAGAAGAGCAGATGCTGTAGGAGGGTAGAAGTACCAAGGCAGTGAAATGCTGTCACTCCATGTGTCCAGCAGATGGCAACACTGAGCAGCCTGGTAGCTTCTTGCCACTGGTGGCTTTGGACACTCCAGATGTGGCTTCTCGCCTCCTGCAAAGCCTCTCTCTCCCTTTAGCCCAGAGGACTACCTGTCCTGGATTACAAAATAGAAAAATTAAGACATTTCATAAGTTTCACACCTCCCCTCCACAGAAAGGAACAGAGTCTGGACCCCTTCCTCTCAGGCCAGTGCCTGGGAACCCATTTTCCTCTACCCACCTAGGTTGTGAGTTCTGAGCACAGAAGTATAGGGATCACTGTGGAGGTTTTTGTGGGATCATAGAAATCGGGGAATTTCTACATGTTCTGTCATTCAGAGAAGTTAATAAATATTAAATACAAAGTAATAAACCAAAGCAATAAACCAAAGCACATTTTACATCAGGAGTCACCAGTTATGGGATTTGAGGACCTAGGCCAACCACAACAGCCCCCACTCCACAGAGTTCCGTAAAGTGATGAGTAGAGAGAACCTGAGCTGGGGAAATGGGGGAGAGCAGGTTTCCTGCACTGCCTTTTCCTTCCCAATTCCCTCCCAATGAAGCAGTGGCCAGACCTGCTAGAGGTCAGCAAGGTCACCTCCTGCCACTGTAGTCCAGTTGACTAGCCCTGAAGCATCAGGTCCAGACCTCCTCCCACATGTTCCCTCCAGCCAAATACCAAGACTCTCCCCAGGCACTTGGCTGGGGCCAGATTGGGGTTTTGTCCCCCCATGCCCCAAGCAGGAAAGGATTACCATGAAAAGGAAAAATAAGGATCACCAAATCCTGGGAAAGATTTCAAAGATGCCTGGCCTACATTTGCACACCATTCATAAAATAGCTGCTGTGTTCTTCAACTCTACACTTGTCCAGTTCTTACCCCAATAAAACATCAACCTAGAGTTTAGCTGAATTCAACAGATAGTTGTTCAGTGTCTTATATAGGCCAAGTTTTGTGCAGAATGCTAGAGACTATGGCCTCTCCCTTTATTAAGCTCTAAATTTGGGATAGGAGAAAAACACATCACAATTCACTGTACTATAAGGAGATCCATACCAGAGTCAGGTGTGGACCTGTGTTGTGGGAGCCAGCCCAAAGAGAAAGCATTTAATTCTGCTACTCTGCCAGTAGCAAGGGGCCAAGGAAATTCCAGAAGGAAATGACATTTGAGCTGGACCCTGAAAGATGGGGATGGCCTTGCTAAAGGGAGAGAATTAGGGCAGAAACAGCTTGGAGAAAACACAAAGCCCTGGAAAAGTGGTATTGGGCCAAAGTGTGAAGTCCAGAGAGGGTAGGAGTTATGAGGGGTCTTGGGAGAAGGCTGAGGAGACTGGACCCATCCTACAGACAAGGCCTTCACCCTGACTCTGCCTTCCACATGCCTCTAGATGATGTTGCTGTCCTCAGTCTCCCTGGTCAATACTGGGACAATCATGCTTCCCCCACCCTGTCCCCTCAAAAAGCCACAGACTCCCTATCCCTGGGCCTAGGTTATGGCCATCACAAAGTGGCACACTGAAGTGACTATCTGAAGGGAGAATTCCCTGTGCTTGTGAAGCATTCATTCATGTTGCTGACACCACCATCAACAAGCCCAACTGATTAGACCTCCTCTCAGGAGCTGGGAGGGATGCTCCTGGACTCCTATACCCACGCTGGTCCCCTCTCCCTGAGTAACTACCCCAGAATCGTGCATCTATTTGGAGGAAAGGCATAGATTTTAGTAGCTCTGTGGTCTTGGGCTTCAGTTTCCTCACCTACAAAGTGGAACCATTAGTTGGTATTGTGGTGGGGGAGGGGTACCAGTGCAGGGTAAGTGCCTATATATAGTGCCAGGAGTGTTGCCAAATAAATGATAACTACTGGTTCTCGTTGTCATGGCTTGGGCTAGGTGTTGGCAATTTGAAAATAAGTAAAAGACAGTTCCTTCCTATAGGACCTCAAAATCCTCAAAATAGCAGGATATGTGTTGTCTTCAAAGTGCCATGAAAACTCAGAGAAAGGCAAAATCAGAATGTAGATCCTGCACAAGGAGCAGGAGCAAGAATTTCTGAAGAAGAATGGGCAAATAGGACCGCTGTATTGCCCTGCCACAAACTGAGCACATCCCAGCACCCCAGAAGGTTGCTTGAGCAGTGGTTTGTCTTTGTCAACTGTTCTTTTTAGTTCACATCAAAAGACTTTCCAAACTGTGACTCAGAAGCTAAGTGCTCCCTAGCATGCTGGCCAGGCTCATCTGAGCCTCAGGACAATGAGCCCAGATAACCCCCAATCCAGCCTCCTCCTCTGCTTCACGGAGAAAAACCAGGACAAGGCCCAGCATCCCACCACATTTCATGTTGAGAAAGTCGAGAACAAGAAAGTTGGATTTCTAGAAGCTAAAGGTAACTATATTGGGTCCAAACTACCAACTATACAAATAAGAAATGGGGACTTCATCTCCTTTCTTACTGTATGTGAAATGGAGATCTGGGAATTTTCAACAATAGTTAACACGGTGAAAACCAATGGTGTGACTTGAAAGTTAATTCAATCTTAAAATCATTGATTATAATACCTAGACTAAGGGGAGTGATGTCTACTTTCCTCTAACCAGAGCACCCTGAGCTCTGTGACCTAAGCTCACTCTAACTGGAATTTTGTCAGCTGGAAGAGGTAGTCTGTTTTTATAAGCCTCAAGATGAATAGTACAGTCATGGTGAGGCCACCAGGAGCCAGAACTAAAAATGGTCAGAAGTGCTCAGGAACAGAACACATATGTCCCACAAGGGGTGACAGAGTGGAAAGTGTTCAAGTGTGGGTAGGAATGGCACTTTACAGGAATGTGATCTTCCAGAGGATCGTAGCACTGGAAAGGGTCTGAGGATTTTCTCTTGTTGAAGACCCTTTCCAACTTTGATTCTAGGATTAATCAAAAATTTTCATGGAACTAGAGGGGGACAACAGTTGAACTAGTAAAATGATGAAAACTCCTTAAAATTTCTTGGTGTGGGGAAAGTGGAGTGAACAGAAGTCCTTTCAGCTCTCTTCTAACTCAGGTTCCTATTTTGTGATCCAGGTTCTGAAAGGGTCAGCTATTGGCAATCCACACAGCTGACAAGATGCAGATCAACCCCCTGACTCAGAATACCTGGTGTGTATGGAGGCTGGAAATCAGGCAGGGAAAGACACACATCTCAAGGGCCAAAGCTTGGGCATGCACACGTGTGCACACACACAAACACACACACACACACACATACACAATGGAGATCTAGGGTTGGACTTGAGGCTGGTGGTAGAAACAAGCCCAACAATGCAGAGGCCTAATTATATCTACAGTCACCCCTCCCGTCACTGCTGTCACAGAAGCCTGCTGCTGGGGACATGGCTGCCTCCATCTTCTCTCCCAAAGCCAGTGCAGCAGCTTTCACACTCAGAGAAGGCCCACAGCAACCTCAGACACCAACCTCTGAATCAATGCCCATTTGCCAAAGCACAGCATCTGTCTCAGGAACTAGAGACAGAGGACATGGCTGAACAGAAAAGCTACTGCCAACATGCCCCAGGCCACGGGGTCAAAGTGCTCCCCTACAGCCATCTCTGTGCTCTGGCTGTAGGCCAGTGTCCTCTAGTCACCCCACTAACAGCATTCCCTTTCTCTCTCCTCTCCCTGTCTCCAAAGTTCCTGCTCTCTCCTTCCCTCCCTCTAATGCAGGGTCAACAGGCAGAGAAGGATTCAGGATGCTTCCTTGTCCTGGGCCCTGCTCAGACCTCAGGGGATCACACACAACCCTCCCCACAGAATTCTCATTGCCTTCTCCCGACTACAACCACAGACTCCCACATCCATTGCAGGAAAAATGACCCCAGGCAGCCCACTTTCTCCACCCTGAAGATTCCCCACCCACTCACTCTACTCTGCCTCCTCCACTAGACACTAGTCAAAAATGTCACTTTCTTCACCAGACAAAATTTGCCTCTCCTTTCCCAATCTCCCATCCTTGAACTTCAAATGCTGGGTCTAATGTTCTACTTTTGTCCAAAACACGACCAGAGCAGTCAGCCACCCTTCCTCATTTTCTCCATACAACAGGAGGGGCCTCTTCCGGGTATAGGGCTGTAGCCTTGCAGCTTTGGAAGCATGGAGGGACAAAACCCCCAGCTTCACCCAATCTAGGGGCATTCCAGTCCCCTGGACAGCTCCCAGTGCTCCTAGAGACTCTTCTTTCCCTGTCCTTTAGGAGACACAGGCTCCATGCCAGGTATACCAGGCCTTCAGGGAGGGTGCCCTCCTCACTGAAGTTCCACCCATCCACCCAGGCGTCTACCATTGACCATCTGCATCGTAAGCTGCCCCACCCCCAAGTAGCACTACTTTTAAAACCAAAAGAAACTGCCAAAACAAACCAGAAGTGCTCATTTAGGAATAACTGCTTTTGAAATGTCATATCCCTTAAATGCAAGGAACCACCCCCATTGCCAGTTCTTACTGATCCGACCTCAAATAAGTTCAAAGTAGGTCCTCTCTGGACACCACCAAAAGTACCCTTTTCTCCTTAGTGGGGAAATAGCTGGTGGAAGGCTGCCATGAGTTAAGTGGGAAGAATCCCTGGAATAGATTGATCACTATTCTTCCCCCCACTTTAGATGCCCTTTCTCCTTGGGACCGAAGACATCACCTGCCTGACTTTTCTTCAAATAGTACAGCACCAAATCCCACCCAGCAAAAGACTCTGGTTCTCCAAACACAGCCCTGCAATAGCAACCCTAATGTTCAGGTAAGGTCAGAAATGAGCCAAGGAGAAGGTCAACAGGGGCCATGGAAGCAAACATGCTTTTGAAATAGCCTACTATTTCAAGAGATGATAGTACTTACTAAGCACTATTTTAAGATAGAACTTATGAAACACCAACTAAATACCAAACACTATGCTAGACACTTTTAGATTTTTTCAATAACCCAGAAAGACATGAATTGTCCTAATTTTACAAATAAAGAATTTGCTAGAAGATAACACTTGCCTAGTTTATGAGGACCTCGCTCCAGGAGATTGACCCCACAGACCTCTTCTAGTTAGCCCCAAAGTGAACTTCCCACTAGAGGAAGTGACCACAGAGGTTGCTTTACAGATGTTAGAAGCCCAGGACGAAATAGTCCCAGGAGACATTAGATACCGCCTGGAGCCCCTAGTCCTGGCTCCACTCCAGATGCAACTGCAGCACTCCTCCAGCCAGCCCTTCAAACATCGGTGGCTCCCCTTCAGCAGAACCTATGGAGAACGTTTCATGCCCTGGAAGACAGAGCCTAAGATTTACCATGGGGTGAAGCCCTACCATTCAGGTGAGACTTAGCCTGGCAGGGTGCAGGTCGTAGGGGACAGAGGAATTGTATTCTATATAAAGCAAAATCTGAACTCTCTGTTTCCAGTTCACTTTACTTCACCCAATCTAGGGGCATTCCAGTCCCCTGGACAGCTCCCAGTGTTAGGATCCACCAACCCAGCGGAAAACAGCAAGAAGCCAGAACTCCAGCCTTCTCTCCTCAACAGCCCTTCAGGCAATGTTTGGCTACAAGGTCAGCCAGAATCCCCCTGGGAGGGTGCCATACCCACCACCCCATCCCAGTCTTCCTGCTCTAGCTAGCCAGCTGGCAGCCCTGCAGTCCAGGTTTCCCAAACTCAGGTGATCCAAAGGGGACTGGGAGGCCACTCTGTGATTCCCCACTAAAGACCCTTTGTTCTGGTCTTGGGGAGAAAACACAGAAGACCAGAGTGGTAGAGACACATGCTATGGGTCTGCTTTCCCAAGTGGACAAAAAGAGGGAAATATGTCCAGAAATGTGAAAAGGCTTCTTATGTTGAGCTGGCTGTGCAGGAGCCAAGGCTGGGGTCCAGAGATTCCCTACCTTTAACCTCACGACTTCCCCACATAATAGAGACCCTCTGCATACTTTCTTCTCCTCTTAGGTGAACACAACATGACTACTCCTCATCAGATTTCCTTCCAGAGTCCTCCTCTTGGTCTGTCAATACTTCCAGTTCACATGCAGAGCAGAAAAGTAGCACCAATAGTGCGTAGGGGCCATGCAGAATATCCCAACCAGCAGTACCAGAGTGACTTCCAAGCCCCTCCATGGAGTCAAGTTCTCACCCCTGACCCAGACAAAAGAAGCCATAGGATCGAGTGAGTAACCAGAATGGCCAGCAAGGGCTGCTGGGGGAAGGGCAGGAGGTCCTAATTCTCAAGACAAAGGTAGTAAGTTCAGAACTCAGTCAGCCATCCATTTCAGAGATGTAGCCTGTAGAAGGTAACAGAGCAAAGAATGGATTATTTTGAAATCTTTGGATTTCCTTCTAGTTCGGCTTTCCTGAGTCCTCTCATCTCACATGAGGTTTGAGTAAGTACAGATGGCATGTGGTTCATTCTTGGGGGTCAGGGCCTTTCCCTAAGTATGCATGGGAGACACAAACACTAACTGTAAAACAGGAGGTAGAGTAGCTAGGCTTATCAGGGCCCATGAGAGTACAGGGGATCAGGCATTCCACCTTCCTGGCTTTGTCCTGGCATCTTCCCTATGAAACCCTGCTTCTTTGGGGCCCAGGATAGCCCTCTACATTCCTCTAACTCATCTTTTTTATGCTTACAAATCCCAGCTCGAGCACAAAGACAGTAATATGTACTTCACAGTGTTATAGAAACAGCAACTATTTCAAAGTTGTGGATGAAAGGATAATCTTCACTCCAAAGTGCCCAGGGATAATAGCCTAGTAACAAGGACGGCTCTTCTTTCCACAAGCAAATGTACTTCCAAGCTCCTGTTTCCCAAATTCCTATTTTCTAAGCCACAGCCTCTAGCTGCCTGATGGGGTGGGTTAGAAACACCCTCCACGGCCCTATCCTATGGCTGCAGGTGTCTCGTCCTCTCTGCTGAGTCGCAGCATAATAACTGAGGAGTGTGAAAGGAAACAGAGATAAAATAAATTAAAATTTTATTTTCAGAGAAGCAATAAAGAAATTTTAATTTGAAAGTACCTGAAAATATCCTGTTGCGTTTAGGCAAACCCACAAATAAAGGCAAAGAAATAGGCTGATGGCACAGTGACATTTTGATTGGTGTGCCTGGACTGGCTCAGAGGGGATCCCTACCTGAAGAGGAATTTGTTCCCTATGCAGCAAATACATCCAGCATGTGCAGAAGGGAACAGTCGGAGGCCAGCATTGCACTGCTGGTGTGCATCAGCAGCCCAGCTGGTCACAGCGGGAGATGGCCATCCTGGATGGGAAGTGCGTGGCCAAGTTTGATGGCAACACAGTGACCAAGGTAAAGTGTCCAAGCTCTCTGTCAAGAGATAATCAGCTTGAGGGTCCTAACCCCTCCTCAGGCAGGGAGCAAGGAACAAGGGAAAGAGTTTACCCCACTTTTCTTGAGAAACCCAGAAATGTAGTTTTCCCTAATCTGTACCCATTCACAGACTCTGATGGCTCCCTGACCCCAAAGAGGATGCAAGCATGTACTTCACATGTGCTTGACATGCTGTAAGTATTTAATGAAAGACAGCAATTAAAACTGTTATTGTTTTCCTAGACATGTATTCCTCTCTTCCCAGATGTCTTATCTACCTTCTCTCAAGCCCCTGGTAAAAAGAGTCAAGGGTAAGTTCCACTCTAACACACTAGGGGTCTTCAAAGACAAGTTCCAAACTGAAACTACCAGCAAACAATTCTTCCAGGACTGGGGAGCTCAACCCCATGTGCTCCAGGAACCTCATTACAGAGGCAATGAGAAGCTCCTGGTAAGACCTGCTGGGGGAAAACACACTCCCCTAGCCTCCCCGTTGCATCTCACCTTGCCCCTAGAGTGAGGATGGGTGGGGACCAACTCAGGGAGAGCAATCTGATGTTTAGATTCTAGCTCTTTCCCAGCTCAGAGTGACTTTGAACAAGTTAACCTCTCCTTACAAATGTTTCCTCTCCTGCCAAAGGAAAAGAAAATAAAGAAAATGGGTCCTGCTTACTAAGCACTAGATATTCCATTTTTACCTGTGACAGAATAAAGTCACATTTCTTGTAATTCCTTAGCTGACAGAGAGTGCTGAATGTGATATGCAGAGGGGGAAACTTATTCCTTTGTCAGCTCACTGCTCTCTGTCCCCTCTCAACATGGAGGGTTCACAGGCACCAGCTGAAGATGCAACCACCTGGAGGACCACTTACATGCCCTTGTTTACTGAACGGCTTAAATTGTGTAAGCCCAAGGTCAATGGCATAAAGTCTGAGGCAAGCAATTTCTCAACTGGGCACAGGAAATCATTCAGGTACAAAGGACAGACTGAGTCATTTCCAGGCATAGTAACTTAGTATGCAGGTGGCAAAGTAAGCCCAACCCCATAACCTCTGCCTATTTTCACAGGCCAGCCCCAAAGCTTGGGTCTCAAAATCAGGACATCAGGAGTGACTGACCGAATAACGTCTATAAAAATATGCAGTTCAGGACACACATCTGCTAACCAGCTAACATATACAATCAAGGTCTCCAGACAGCTACCTCTGCCCTAGACTCAGCTTTCACACTGGATTGCCCAGCCACACCCTAACCCTAGTCCTGCCCTCTGCAATGCTGACTGAGCAAAGGCAAGAAACCTCTTAAGAAAGGAAAAATTCACTGGTGTTCTGGAAGGTCAGTGTCCCAAGAGACATGAGGAAAAAGAAGTTCAGAGTCATTCCCTCTAACCACTGAACCGGCGAGCCAATGACAAAGTACTAAGTTTTCTCCAGTGGAAATTAAATTCTCTTTGAGCGAGAGTGTCTGATCCTGTTGTTATTGTGGTGTTTGTTGTTGTTGTTGTTGTTCTTTTTTAGTAAGGATATAATTAACAAACCATGAAGTTCACCCTTTTAATGCATACACTGCTTTTTAAGTCTGAACCCGAAGGTAGAGGAGAAAGCACAGGAAAGGAAGGGAGAGCAAGAGGGCCTCTATTGGATTAAAACAAAACAACAAAATTCCATATACATAAAGATTTTCAAAGTCCAAGTAAGAAAGATTTTGATCAAAATCTAGATAGTAGGTGCTTCTCTTGAACATCTTTACAATAATGGAGATCAGATTGCATTTCAAGATCTGAGGTGGGGATAGGAAGGAAAGGAATATGCAACTGAATGTAGCCACCTATATCCATGAGGGAGTTCAAGACCTAATGTTTGAAGTGTATAGACCCAGGGCCCTGCTCTCCATAGTCCAAAAAAGGCATGGCACACTGCCCTCGAGTAGCCAGCCTAGCAAATAGCAAGTACAAACTAGACAGGTGCTGGGTTTCTTCCAGGAAGGATGTGCTGTTCTCACACTTTAAGGAAGAGAAACTGGACAGTGGGGGGAGTTGATACACTGTTACCAAGGACTACTAAACAGAGCTGGAAGAATTCCTCTGCTTCCCCTACACATCAGTCTCTGCTTGAAAACATAAATAGATTGCTTTGTAAAGGAAAAAACAAAGTAATTTAAGTTTTTAAAGCACCTATGCCTAAAGCCAGTGAACATGTTCCTAAGAAACAGCTAAATCCTGAACCCATAGTGGAATCAAAACCTAGCAGTACAGAATAAAAGTGACAATGGGCTGGGGGTTTAAGGTACTCACTGCCATCTCTATCCAAGGAAAGGGGCAGGCTTACAAAGTAGCTTATAAAAGTATAATCTCAAAAGTAAAAAGAGTAGAATCCATTGTCCAGACCCTATATTCCTTGGGGTCTTTGTTTTTAATTTGCTTTTTATTTTGGAGTAATTTTATATTTACAGAAATTTGTAAAGACAGTACAGAGTCTTGTATACTCTTTACATGATTCCTCAAATGTTAATATCTTATGGTACCATTGGTCAAAACTAAGAGATTTACACTGCTGTATTTACGTGAACTAAACTATAGATATAATTCAGATTTCACCAGTTTCACCATAAAATGATCTAAGGTTGGGTCTTCAAAAAAAAAAAAAGTTTCTAGCAAGGAGTCAAAGGATCAAATAAGCAGTACAGCTTAGGAGAAAGAACACCAGATTCTAGTCCCAACTCTGCCACATGCCAACTGTGGAATCTTAGTCTATTTTCTGTGCTCTTAAAGTATTGACTTCTGTCTCAAAGACAGTAGTTCTAGACACAACTGCAATTTACATTTTATCTCCTTGCCTAAGCTCATCTGACAACCACGGGCCAGAGGAAGGGAAAAGATATCCCCAACCTCGTAGAGACCTCAACTGATTTCTCCAGTTAAAGAAATAAATCCCTTTGGGATCTTCAGATCTCAACATTTATTTCAAAAGCCATATATGTCTCAAATGGTGCAGGGCCGGGGGACGGGGAGCGGAGAATATTCAACCTTTAAGAGTCTTGAGAAATATATAAACGGCAGAGACAATAGCTCTCCAACAGCATCTATTTTTTCCCTTCTTCTTGGACACAAAATATATTTATCAGACTTGTGTTAAAAGGGACCTATGTGACTAACTTGCAGTCTCTGGTATATGAGTGGAAGTGTGTACCACATCTAGAGAGGGCCATGACATCTCCTAAGCAATCCTCCAAGCTCCACTCAGCTTGCTGAAATGATAATGCCCAAAACAATTTTGGAACCCATGTTGAAGCTGGCACCAGCCTGGTCCCTATATGACAGAATCTCAGTCCCACTTCTTCAACCTAACCTAGCTGGATGTTATAAGAGTAAGCAGTAAGAAGAAAATTCTCTTGAGAGTCTACCTAGCAGTTTAGCCTACCTACCCTAAGTAATAGAACTCGTGTCAATCCCATTGCCTGGCTTTTTGAGCTCAGGTGCCCAGAACCAAGCTGCCCAAAGGCCTGAGTTCTGGCACACTGCCACTTTACAAGCAGGCCTCCTTGCTTCCCTTTACTTTACCCCTTCTAGTCCCATTCTGATCCTTCCCACAGACCCTATTCTAATGAGTTAAGGTGCAGATTCTCCTTTAAAAACAAAAATTTTGAGGCTGGACTGGGGGTGTGGATCATTGGTAGAACACTTGCCTATCATGTGTGAGACACTGGGTTCATCCCCAGCACCCCCCTGAACACACACACACACACGCACACACACACAAAACCTTGGCTAATTTTTGCTGTTTTCTTCACCTGGAGTTTCATGTCATTAAGTTCCTAACAGCTTGCATCTGATGTTTTAAAATAATAGCTCATGATGTGCATATATAACATTTTTCTTATCAGTTACCTTAGTGATGGATATCTAAGTTGCCTCTAGCTTCTTGTTATGCAAACTATACATAAATATCCTTACATGTAACTACTTTAGGATTTTTGCAAGTCTCTCTGAAGGATATAGCCAAGAGTGGAACTGTTTTGAGATATATATATATATATATATATTTGATATATTAGTTATCTCCTACTTTGCAACAAATTACCTACCCTAAATGCAAATTATCTACTGTAAGTGTTGTAGCATTTTAAAACAGTAACAACTCACAGAATGAGAAAAAAGTATTTGCAAATCATATATCCTATAAGGGACATATCACCAAAATACATAAAGTTTTTCCCCCACCCCCAGAGCTGGGGAATAAAACCCAGGGATTCACACATGCTAGGCAAGCATTCTACCACTGAGCTACATACTCAGGTCCCTCTAGAGAATTCTGAACATAAAAGTGTGTGTATGTACATATTTATGACCTATATATGATCTATATGTGTGTGTATATATAATTGGATTGTCATATATATGAAAAATAGGCAAAGGATTTCAATAAATAAAGATGTTCAATATCATTAGCCATTATGGAAATGAAAAACAAAACAATAATCAGATATACCACTTCACATCCACTAGGATGGCTATGATCAAAAAGACAGGTAATAAAAAGTATTGGCAAGGATATAAATAAACCAGAATTTTCATATACTTCTTCAGAAAAAGTTTGGCAGTTCCTCAAAAAGTTACATGAAGTTACATATGACCCCCAAATTCCCCCAAAATCCATGAAAAATGAAAACATACATCCGAAAACTTGTACATGAATTGTTCATGCAGCATTATCCATAATACCCCCAAAGTGGGAACAACTTGACTATCCATCAAATAATGTATGGATGAATGAAAAGTGTATTCCATAAAAAAGAACATCATTCAGTCATAAATAGAAAGGAAGCAGACAGACGTGATAACATGGATGAACCTTGAAAACAGTATGCTAAGGGAAAGAAGCCAGACACAAGAGGCCATATATTGTATGATAATTCCATTCACATATTATATGAAAGTCCAGAATAAACGAATCTATAGAGATAGAAAGTAGAGTAGTGGTTGTCCATGGTTGGGGGAGTTGGGGGAAAGTAGGAATTAAATGCTAACAGGTATTGTGTTTCCTATATCTACCAGGTGATGAAAATATTTTAAAATTAATTGTGATGGCTGCACAATTCTGAGATACACTAAACCACTGAATCATACTTAAAAGGGATGAATTGCATAGTGGATAAATTAAATCTCAGTAATGCTGTTTGTTTTTAAAAAAAAAAAATACTGTTTCTTTGAGTTAAGAAGATGGACCTAAATGGTTCTGGCTCAGGATTCCTCAGCAGGTTGTGGTCAAGTTGTCAATCAGGGCTGAAAAGAACTGAAGGAATGAGCAGAGCTGGAGGATCCACTTCCAAGGGGGCTCACTTGAATGGATGGCTACTTGGAGCTGACTACAGCTGAAGGACTTCAGTGCCTCTCTACATGGGCCTTTCCAGAGGGTTGTCTGAATGTCTTGACATGGGAGCTGACTTGGCTTCCTCTAGACCAAGTGATCCAAGAGAATATAAGGCAGATGCTTTAATGTCTTCCATGACCTAGCTTCAAAAGTCACACATTTCCAGTACATCCTATGGGTTGTACAAGTCAGCCCTATTCATTGTGGGAGGGGACTATGCAGAGCTCAAAAACCAGGCAATGATCATGGGAGGCCAAATGGAAAGCTGGCTAGCATATTTGATGGTGATAATGACAGAAATAGCTTAGAATTTTATGACATTTACTGTGTGCCGGGCACTGTTCTATGCTTACATTACACCTATAAAGTAGGTACTATTATCTCTACTTCACAAATGAAGATAGTAAAGCACAGAGAAGTTAAGTGGCTCACCAAAGGTCACCAGCTAACAAATGACATATCTGAGATTCAGTTTCAGGCAGTATAGCTCCAGGGCCCTCTCTTAAGAACTGTGCAACATTGCTTCCCAATATTATTTAATTTTAGTAAATGTTGTCCATTTGAACTCCAAAATGGATACACAAGTTAGATTCCCTGTGAGTTTTTATTCTTTATGAGAGTCGTCTATTTTTGCCAAACTAATAGCTATAAAGTAGAAACTTTTAACAAAATTATATTTAATTTGCATTTAGTTAATTACTAGTGAGGTAATATACTTATTAACCATTCTGGATATCTCTCTTGGTTTTACCTATCCATATTCTTTGCATATTTTTATTTTGTGTTATCTTTCTCTTCATGATTTACACAGGTTCTTTCTATATTTAATTCCTTTTATATGCAATCCCTACTCACTTTTAGCATTGCAGATAGCTTCTCCTAAACACTCCCAAATTTAGCTTTGACTGTGGCTATTTTGCTAAATAGAAACTCTTTTAATTATAAAATAATCAAAGCTATCAGATCTTCGGGATTATGCTTTGGGATCTTATTTAGGAAATCAGTCTTCACCCTAATGTAACACAGACACCCTACTAGCTTTATTTTATTTTTGTTGCTGGGGAACAAACCCAGGGTCTCACACATGCTAGGCAAACCCTCTACTAGCTTTACTAAATTACACTTCATTAGGTCTTTAATTGCTTCAGCATTTATTTTGTTTTATATGGTATGAGGTAGGGATCCAACTTTATTTTTGCACACAACAAGCCAATTTTCTGAGCACCGTTATCCATCTCTTTCCCACTAATTTGTGACACTACCTTTATCACACACCATGTTTCCAATATTTCTGGGTCTAGTTTCCAACTAATTTCCTGTTTTCTCAAAAAAAGATGTGTCACTGATAAAGTTACTCACATTGCTTTCCAAATTAATGAAAAATCCAACCATTCATTACTCCCAGGGATTCAATATTAGCTGGAATTCTTCCCCAAACATAATACCCAGGTAGGAAATTATTTTAAAAAAATAAATGTATGTTTATTAAAATAAGAAAAATCCTAGCCAAGAACAAACTCTGGGATATAGAAATCACTTCTTCCATGAAAGCTAGCCACAGAGTGTGTTGACACACCTATGAAGTCCAGGTGCCTCAGTCCAAAGATCAGGTTTCGAATATTCTTCTGTGGTCAAAACTGGCATTTGACAAGTTGCTGGTCTGTGTGGGCCATGACTGTGTGCACAGACAGATGTTACAGCTGGATTCTGGCTGTCCTATGCCCACTACCACAATCCACAGCACCCCATCGTGCCTCAGAGAAGTTACATATCCTCAACACTCCATTTGTAGGCAAGTTCTTCCACTGCTTTCTTGCTGGCAAGCCTGGCAAAGCGCTTCTGTTCAAAACCATTGGATCTGAAATCAAAAAAGACATACTCATCACCCAGAACACTGAACTGGACATGTATTTTAAAAGAAAAAGAACAGTTCACAATATAATGAGTAGGAAAGAAAGTAAAGAAGTTATGCGAAAACATTTAAGGCATATGCAAAAGAATCAAACAGACAAAATACACAATTTCTTCTCTTCTTAGTCCTTGTTCAAATCCTTCTCTACTCTTTGACAGCTATTACAGCATTTCAAGACCCAACTCACTCTCCACTGATGTCCACATCATATATTTTTTCCATTCATTAACTATTTATTGAATTATCCTCAGATACTAGGCACTGTAGGCACTATATGAAAATGGGTATGACAGAGCACCTATCCTGTTGAACTCACAGACTAGTGGATGAGACAGACATTTAAATAATAATCAAAATAAAAGGCATAAACTGTGATAGAAATATGCATGGGGTTATCACAGCAATAGAAATGGGAACTTCAGTCAGCTTGAGGGAGGTATGATAAAAGTGACATGAGGGATGGACAAGAATGGTCAGGAGAAACTTTGTGGGAATGGTCTCTAAGCTAAATCTAAAAACAGAGCAACTTAACCAGAAGACTGGAGATGGAAGGCAGGGGACCGAAAAGTCAGGAGGTCATTTCAGGACAGAGTAAAGTATAAACAAGAGCAAAGATACAAAAACAATAAATACTCTCATACTTGCAGGAAACCAAAAGCAAACTGGTATGGTTGGAGCCTAAAGTAACAAAGGGAGAATCCTTGAGTCCACGCTGGAAAGGTAGGCAGGGGCCAAATCATACCAAGCTTTAGAACATGGTAAAAAGATAAGTTCCATCCAGAAAGGATGGGTTTAAAGCAGAAGCATAAATGACATTTCAACAAAATCACTCTGAAGATGATCTGAGGCAAGAAGGTCACTGAAGGACATAAGCAACAAACAATGAAAGCAATGACAAGGAGGAGGACATGGATGGCAAAATTATCAGTACTTATTGAGTCATTAGATACAGAAGGATAAAGAAACAGGAGCTAAATTTGCCTCACTGGTTAATTATTGAGTGACCAGATGAATGACACTGCCACCAATCAGGAAAGAAAGCACAAGAGCAAGCAAGAGCAGGCACAGAGTAGGAGAAGCTGCGATGAGTGCAGTTTTAAAGATGTGGCATTTGAGGGGCCTCAAGTGCATATCAACAGAAGAACCTATTAAGAAACTAGATACCCAAGATTGAGCTAAAAATACAGATTTGAAATCATGTACATATAGGGGGTAGTTGGAAGGTCTGACTAGGCAAGATTAATTTAGAAAGAACATATGGAATTGTAGAAGCAGCTCTGAGAAACATTTAAGGGGTACACAAAAGAACAGAAGCTTGCAATGGCAGCCAAAAAGAAATGACAAGTAAAAAGAATCAGGGGTAGGTGTCATGGAAGCCAATACAAGGGTGAGTTTTGAGAAGACAGTGAATAGGCCTCGAATCTCTTCTAATTATTAAGCATTCTCTCAGTCTTCTTATCTAAATTCATTCTGTGTGCACATGCACTTGCACGCAAATGTGCTGGGGACTGAACCTAGGATCTGTGCATGTTAAGCAGCCCTCAACCACTAAGCTATATCCCCATTCCTTCTTATCTAAACTACTTTGGGGGGCATGGGGGATTGAACTGGGGGGCACTCGACCACTGAGCCACATCCAAGCCCTATTTTGTATTTTATTTAGAGGCAGGGACTCACTGAATTGCTTAGCGTCTCGCTTTTGCTGAGGCTCGATTTGAACTTGTGATTCTTCTGCCTCAACCTCCCGAGCAGCCGGGATTACAGGCATGTGCCAGCTTGCCCAGCTTATCTAAACTTCTTGAAAGAGCCTGTCTCCATTTCCTTGCTTTTCATTCATTCCTTAACATATTAGAACCTGACTTTTATTTCATTCACTTTCAGGAAATCAATGACATTCCCTTGTTGCCAAACAATTCCTCCTTCCTTTTCCGCATATCAGTCCCCCAGGTCCAACCATCTTATCCCCTAACCATTTTCCCACTTACTCCTTACTAGCACTATCACAGGTCAGGCCTTCATCACCTGTAGCCTGAGCTACTCCAACAATCTAATATTTGTTCTACACCAAACTGGTTTCTTCCACATACTTCACATTGCTGCCATATTGATTTGTCTATCTAAAATGCAGGGCTGCTTTTAATGCTCCAATGATTCCCCTTGCCTCTAGAGTGTAGAACATGCTCCTCAGAAAGGCTTCCAAAGTGTGACACCGCCCACCTCTCCAGTATATCTCATACAATTCCATTTCACACTTTATGCTCCATAACTAGTAAACTGTTCATGATCCCACCCCATAAACCATGGTATTCCCCAACCTCCTGACTTGGCACTGTGAGATCTTCTTCTTTAAACATCCTTCTTTTCTTTTTTATCTTGGCTAATAACTGACATCCTATAAGACAGCTCCTCTAGGAAACATTCCCTGACCACATCCTCCCAAGGCTAAATTTACTTTTCCTTTGTGCTCCCAAAGCACCTTGAAAATCCTCCAAAGTAATACTAAACAAGAAGCATTTAAAATTACCTGTCTGCTTCCACAGATAGAAGGTGAGCTCCTGAGATCAGGACCTTTCTCTCACTAATAGTGGAATCCCTGGCACCTAGTACATAACTGTTAAAAGTTATAACAAGCATCCTAAGGGATAAGTGGGGTGAGTAGTGGAAAGCTTTAGGAATCAGGAAAGCTTATTATGAATGGCACCATCTCCAATCTTAGAAACATGTATGGTATTCTAGAGCACTAGGAAACCACTAATTTTTGTCTTTTTTTTTTCTTTTTGGTACCAGGATTGAACACAGAGGTACTCTACAACTGAGCCACATCTTTATCCTTTTTTATGTTTTATTTAGAAGCCAGATGAATGACACTGCCACCAATCAGGAAAGGCTCACTGAGTCATGTAGGGCCTCACTAAGTTGCTGAGGCTGGCTTTGAACTTGCGATCCTCCTGCCTCAGCCTCCCCAGTCACTGAAATTACATGGATGAATCACCATACCTGGCTTTAATTTTTATCTTGAAAAATAAATACTTAAATAATTAAAAATAATATGATTATGTAAAAGACATGAATAAATCAAATCCTAAGCAAAATCAGAAAACAAACTGAAAGAGAACTCATAGTGGTAAGAGCTATGGACTCAAGAATCAGGAGTCTAGGGCTCTAATTTCAGCTTTAGGAGGTGAGCTGCAAGAGTCTAAATAAATTGCTTATCTAGCTGGTCCTCAGTTTCTCCGTAAGTAATAGAGGATAGCTTCATTGATTTTATGGATCTTTCTGACAGCAACATTCTATAAATCGGTGGTAGAAATATTCTCTTGTATGGTCCAAAAAGAGATGAAACTATAGAAGTTAATGCAACAATAAACAATCATGACTGCTAGAGCACTTGCCTAGTGTGTGCAAGATACTGGGTTCCATCCCCAGCACTGAAGAAGGAGGAGGAAGAGGAAGAAGAAGAGGAAGAGGAAGAGGAATGGGAAGAGGAGGAGGACAAATGTCAAAATGCAATGTCAAAGGAATAAAAGGAGGAATCTCAGAGAAAACAAAACATGAGAAATAGAGAAAAGCAACTGAGAAAGATGAGAATGAAACATCAATTTAAAAAAAAAACTTAGGTAAGGAGGAGTTCTATATTTTGAGTAAGAAAAATAAAAATCCAAACATATAAACAGTATAGAAGGCATATCTTTAGGCAATATCTATAGAGTTATAGCTATAAGATCTATCTCTGGCTATATAGAAAATTAGTATTCTGAAAAATCTTCCAGTTACCAAACAAAGAGCCTATATACAATGAACTGCAAAATAAAGTAGTCAGCTAGACCAAAATCATAGCCACTCTAAGGATATGTGCCAATAAGAGAACTGGAGCCTTGGGTTTTAATGGTAGCTAGCCTAAGGGAGAAAAGACAATGTCTAAAGCCCACAGAGGGTGAGAAGGTGGACTTCAGTTACTGCAGAATAATTTAAGCAGACTAAGCAGACTAACCTACCCTCAAATAGCAATTATAAAACCTGGATAAAGTAAACAAGTATTGGAAAGTATTTGAAGGTATAAAAGAGTGGCCAAAAGTGGACAAACTAGATGGAAGTCTAAAAATTAGAAGATATTTAGGAATCTTTTTGCCAGAGGGCAATCTCTCAGCTGCTCAGTTCAGAGGCCAAACGCTATAGGCTTACTGGCTTAAGGTGTCAGTGCAAAGTAAGCAGAGCATCTACAAAATTAGAGAGAGGTGGATTCCAGAAGGGTAGGAAATGCAAAAGGGATAAACTCCACTTCTCTATACACAAACTCCACCCAAATCCTTAGCTAACCATTATACTACACACATACAGAGGTCTCATCATCAGCTTGATGAAAAAGTAGCCACTAGAAACTGAAAGAACTAAGCAGAGATTTTGGCTACTGTCTACTGCAAAAGAGAGAGTCCAGAGTTCAAATATGTCCATGTTAACTGTCTTCTACAATAAAATTCAACACATTTCAGAGTAATATAAGAGAAACCAAAGTCTCTACAATTTATCATTCATATAATATCAGCAACAATTTTAAAATTCCAAAAGTGTAAATAAACAGAAAAATATGATACACATTCAAGAAAAAGTTAACAGAAACCAAACCTGTGGTAAATCAAATATTGTGAATAGCAAACAAAACTTCAAAGCACTAATTTTAAGTATTCTCCAGATAGAAGAAAATGTCCCATGATGAATGAACAGATGGGAAATCACAGCAAAGAAATACAAGCTATCAAACTGAAATTCTACAGTTGAAAAATACAATAAACCAGGTAAAACAAGAAAGAGACTGATAAAAAATTTAAAAAAAATAACAAACAAAAAAATCAGGATACAAGTGATCTGAACACCATTAATTAAATTAAAAACACCATTAAATACCACCGAAACCTAATAGATATTAGTATAATGATAACTGCAGAATATACATTCTCTTCAAGTACAAATGAAATATTCACAAGGTAGACAACATACCAGGCCATAAAACACATCTTAATAAATTTCAAAAGCTCAAAATTAATTAGAGTCTGTCCTCTGACCAAAATGGAATTAAATTAGAAATCAATAGCAATAAGATATCTAGAAAGTTGAAATATTTGGGATTAAACAATGCACTCCTAGATAACTAATAGAGCAAAGAATAAACCAAAAGGAGAATCAGAAAATATTTTGAATAAAAGCCAACATACAATTTTGAGGGGAAAACAAAAAAAACTCCGCAAACTAGGATAGAAGGAAACTTTCTTAATTTGATAAAGGATATCTACAAAA